ACTACAAGCATGTCTTAAAGACATAAAAACCTGGATGACCCTTAATTTTCTCCTGTTGAACAGACAAGACTGAGGTTTTGGTTTTTGGACCTGAGCACCTTAGGAATTAATTTTTCAGTCTTTCTCCCTCCTTAGATGCATTATTCTGTCCTCCAGCTCTAATGTTAAAAATCTTGGTGTTATTTTTGATCAGGACATGTCTTTTATCCCCCACATTAAAAACGTTACTAGAACCTCCTTCTTCCACCTGCGTAATATCACTAAAATTAAAAACATCGTATCTAAAAATGATGCAGAAAAACTGATCCATGCATTTGTCATGTCTAGACTGGACTATAGTAATGGTTTATTATCTGGGTGTCCAAATACTTCTTTAAAATGTCTTCAGTTGATCCAAAATGCTGCTGCCAGAGTCTTAACTGGAGTTACTGGGAGAGATCATATCTCTCCAGTTTTAGTTTCTCTCCATTGGCTCCCTGTCAAATCCAGAATAGAATTCAAAATCTTACTTCTAACCTACAAAGCTCTCAATAACCTGGTTCCATCTTATATTACAGATCTTATTGTTCCATATTTTCCTAACAGAGCACTTCGCTCTCAGACTGCAGGTTTACTTGTGGTTCCTAGAATTTACAAAAACAGAATGGGAGGCAGATCCTTCAGTTATCAGGCTCCTCTCTTGTGGAACCAACTTCCAGTTTCTGTCCGTGAGGCTGACACATTATCCAGTTTTAAAACTAGGCTTAAGACGTTCCTTTTTGATAAATCCTATAGTTAGGGTTGGCTTGGGTTTCCTGAGCTGTCCCTTAGTTATGCTGCTATAGGCTTAGACTGCTGGAGGACAAACTGACCACAATTTTCACTCTGCTACTGTCTTTACTTACTCTGCCCAACATTTGTAATTATTTTTTTCTATCCTTAACATGTTTTTTTTTTTTGTCTTTCAGGTACACCTGGACCTATATCTGGCCCTACCATTCTGTGTTCGTCTGTCTCTCCTTCCTGTCCTCTCAAACCAGCCGGTCAAAGCAGATGGCCGCTTGTCCTGAGCCTGGTTCTGCTGGAGGTTTCTTCCTTTTGAAAAGGGAGTTTTTCCTTTCCACTGTTGCCACTGTGCTTGCTCAGGATGGGAGACTGCAACGAAGTCAAGATTCAACTTGTCTGCTGGATTCCTTAGATAGAGAACTTTACTAATTGGCTTTTATGTATGTGAATGTTTCTGTAAAGTGCCCTGAGACAAGTTTGTTGTGATTTGGCGCTTTATAAATAAACTGAATTGAATTGAAATGAATTAAAATTAGTTGTAAAAAATGTTGATACCATGGCTGTTGGATAACAAAAGATCACAAGAACCTCAACAAAACTACCTCTCATAGCGAACCTATGGGGCGGGGGACATTGAGTCCGAGTGGGCCATGTCCCGCACCTCTATTGTCGAGGCGGCTTAGCGGAGCTGTGGCCGCAAAGTTGTCGGTGCCTTTCACGGCGGTAACCCTCGAACCCGGTGGTGGACACCGGCGGTGAGGGATGCTGTCAGGCTAGAGAAGGAGTCCTATCAAGCCTTTTTGGCCTGTGGGACCCCAGAAGCAGATGATGGGTACCGGCAGTCCAAGCGACATGCGGCTTGGGTGGAATCGCCCGGAGTTCCTTAGGGCTCTGGATGTTGTGGGGTTGTGTTGGCTTACGCGACTTTGCAATATTGCCTGGACATCGGGGGCAGTTCCCCTGGATTGGCAGACTGGGGTGGTGGTCCTCCAATTCAAAAATGGGGACCGTAGAGTGTGTTCCAACTACAGGGGGATCCACACTATTAAGCCTTCCTGGTAAGGTCTATTTGGGGGTTCTGGAGAGGAGGGTACGTTGGATAGTCGAACCTTGGATTCGGGAGGAGCAGTGCGGTTTTCGTCCTTGTTGTGGAACACTGGACCAGCTCTATACCCTCGGCAGGGTCCTGGAGGGTGCGTGGGAGTTTGCCCAACCAATCTACATGTGCTTTGTGGACTTGGAGAAGGCGTTCGACCACGTCCCTCGGGGAGCCTTGTGGGGGGTACTCCGGGAGTATGGGGTACCGGGCCCTTTGATACGGGCTGTTAGGTCCCTGTATGACCGGTGTCAGTGCTTGGTCTGCATTGCCGGCAGTAAGTCAGGCTCATTCTCAGTGAGAGTTGGACTCCGCCAAAGTTGCCTTTTGTCACGGATTCTGTTCATAACTTTTATGGACAGAATTTCTAGGTGCAGCCAAGGTTTTGGATCTGTTTTGGTGGCCTTAGGATTGCTTCTCTGCTTTTTGCAGATGATGTGGTCCTATTGGCTTCATCAGATCGTGATCTACAGCTTTCGCTGGAGTGGTTTGCAGCCAAGTGTGATGCAGCCGGGATGAGGAACAGTTCCTCCAAATCCGAGGCCATGGTCTTGAGCCGGAAAAGGATAGAGTGCCCTCTCCAGGTCGGGGAGGAGGTCCTGCCCCAAGTGGAGGAGTTCAAGTACCTGAGGGTTTTGTTTAAGAATGGGGGGGGGGGGGGGGGTAGAGCGAGAGATCAGTAGGCGAATAGGTGCCGCATATGCAGTGAAGCGGGCACTGTACCGGTCTGTCGTGGTGAAGAGAGAGCTGACTTAAAGGTGAAGCTCCCAATTTACCTGTCGATCTATGTTCCTACCCTCATCTATGGTCATGAGCTTCGGATTGGGACCGAAAGAACGAAATCACGGATACAGGCGACCAAAATGAGTTTTCTCCACAGGGTGTCTGGGCTCTCCCTTAGAGATAGGGTGAGAAGCTCAGTCATCTGGGTGGGACTCAGAGAAGAGCCACTGCTTCTTCACCACTAGAGGAGACCGTTTGGGCATCTGGTTAGGATGCCTCCTGGACGTCTCCCTGATGAAGTGTTCCAAACACGTCCCACCGGGAGGAGACACAGAGGAAGACCCAGGACATGCTGGAGAGACTGTTTCTTGGCAGGCCTGGGAACACCTTGGGATGCCCCCGAAGGAGCTGGCCCAAGTGGCTGAGGAGAGGGAAGTCTGGGCCTCCCTACTTAGGCTGTTACCCCCGCGACCCAACCCCAGATAAGCGGAAGAAAATGGATGGATGGATATCACAATAAAAAAATGTATCTTTGGCTTTAATTCTCACATTCATTGCACTTTCACACATTAAACTTGTCCCTTTTTTTACATACCATATCTGCCTCTGACATTGCCCGGTGGACAACATACTGGTCAAGTGTTCTTCTGGTTTTGTTGTCTTTCACGTTTCTTATGTGTCCAACGGCAGAAGCATGCTGTTTGACATCAAACTTCCCACCATGGACTACAGAAAAAGTGCGCTGGCAGACAGTACAGTGCACTTTATAGCCATTATCTTACACTCTTTCCAGCCACTCTTGTTCCTTTTCCCACTCGATTCTGTATTTTTTTCAGCCGTTTTTTTTTTTTCTGGGTGGAGTAGTCGAGGTACTGATGGAAGGTGAACCGTGTGTGCTGTTTAAATCCTCTGAATTTCTGCCGCTCGCATCCATGATGTCTTGTCTAATCCTCTGTTGCCAAATCCGGTCTGCCAGCGGTTGTGTTAAGCACAGTAGTTGGACCAATGAGTTGAGACTGATTGTAGCTTTATGAGTAAGAGGACTGCTCATTGTTCACAGAGCAAACTGGTTAGTTTGACATGACTGTTGACGAGGAAGAGGGCCGGCACCACAGGAGGGGGCGTGCCAAAGACACCATCTTAGCACCATCATAACTGGTTTGTTCCACTTTGGAGTAAGCTGTTTGGAGGAAGAATCAGTTTTGTGTTGTGTGTTTCCTTGACTGATGGAAAGTGAAACGTTTCAGCAAAAAAATAAACTGTCCAGATGACCTGACTGAAAATTGTTGGAGTCTAAGGTAACACTTTTTTTGTCTGTTTCTTTGTTTCATAGAAGGGGAACGTCTGGATGCCAAGATGAAGCGCTTGGAAGCCAAATACACAACGTTACACATGGTCCCACTCATAGAGCGCCTTGGAACTCCACAGGTAGAACCAGTGTGAGCATGTCAGGAAGCAGTCAATATCTTTTTAACAGTAGACTCATTCTTATGATCTTGAGAATATCACTGTTTCTTCTTTACTTATTTGTCTCCTGTTTTCTGTTTCTCTAGCAAATAGCCATTGCCCGTGAAGGTGACCTGCTGACCAAGGAGAGGCTGTGCTGCGGCTTGTCCATGTTTGAGGTCATTCTCGCTCGTGTGCGAGGCTTCTTGGATGACCCCATCTGGCGTGGGCCATTGCCCAGTAATGGTGTGATGCACGTGGACGAATGCGTGGAGTTCCACCGCCTCTGGAGCGCCATGCAGTTTGTATACTGCATCCCTGTGGGAGCCCACGAGTTCACTGTGGAGTGAGTGCTCATCTCACGCTGCTGCACCACAAACAAGTGAGCTTTAAAATTGCTAGATGTTTATTCATGCGGCTCATTTCCTGTCCTCCAGGCAGTGTTTTGGAGATGGCCTCCACTGGGCAGGCTGCATGATCATTGCTCTCCTGGGACAGCAGAGACGCTTTGACATCCTCGACTTCAGCTATCATCTCCTCAAGGTTCAGAAACACGATGGCAAAGATGAGATTATCAAGAGTGTGGTGAGTTGGAGACAAAGAACAACAATGTGTACTGAAAAGTCCAAGCCCACAAAGATCAAAGTGTTGCTGGATTGAATAAAAAAACACTGAGGGGAATTTTAAATCAATAGTTCATCCAACCAAAAAAGTTCATGTTCAATAATCCAGGTATACAATCCAACAATTTTCAGTCAGGTCATCTGGACAGTTTTTTTTTTGCTGAAACGTTTCACCTTCCATCCAGAAGGCTTCATCAGTCAAGGAAACACACAACACAAAACTGATTCTTCCCCCGAACAGCTTACTCCAATGTGGAACAAACCAGTTATGTTGGTGCTAAGATGGTGTTTCAGCAAAAAAAGAAACTGTCCAGATGACCTGACTGAAAATTGTTGGATAGTTCATCCAACATCTCTGTCTTCGGCGTCCTCCTGCAGTGCATCTGGGCCGAGCCTCGTTCAGAACCGGTCCGCCTGGTGGAAGGACAGCTCCTTCTTCTTTCAGGAAAAATAAAAATAAAAACTCAGCTGGTTGTGTGATCAAAGTAAACACAAACTAACATTATTAAGAACATTTGATTTACCTGCAGTAATCAGCTACTGATTATCACGGAGTAAAGTCCGACATCGTCGACTCGGTTCTTGTCCGCTCAGCGACCGGTGTGGAGCTGTTGGACGAAGCGGTCCCACTTGGCGTCATATCTGTCGACTCTTATCCACAATCCAGCCAAAATCCAGCTTTTACTTGTTTTTTTCTTGTTAGCTTTGTTTTAGCCCAGAGGAAAGGAGCGTGCCGAGGCAGCACACATGCACATCAGTGTTGCCAGATCTCGCGAGAGAAACAAGCAACCAGCTCTATGAAAACAAGCCCAAAACAAGCAACCGGCTCTTAAAAAAAGCCCCCCAAAAAAGCCCAACTGGCAATCCACCATTGTGTAAAACAGAGGCCGTTTTAACACAGTATAAACATATTTATTATGGAATTACACATAAACAACAGCAAAATTATGCTAAACACTTTGAATAAAATAACTTTTTTTTAAACCAGGAAGAAATCCATTGAGATATTCAATCTCTTTTACAAGGATGTTCTGAGCTGTCCTTTTAAGCTCTGATAAAATAATAATAATAAAATAAATAAAAAGGTATATGTAACAGCAAACTAGTAAACACAGTCAACAAAAAAAACCCTTTTTTAAATGTCTCTTTAAAAGCAAAGACACACATGAGCCAACTCAAACAGGTCAAGTGTGAAACCATCTTCATCATCATGATTTATTAATGCAGTGCATTTTGTTCGGTGTAATTTGATCTCACCGTCAGTCAAAGGGGATCCAATGAGTTCTCCAAGATGGTGCACAGCACTGATTGATGTGTGACAGGCTATGTAGGTGGCTATTTTTAGCTCATTTCTTTGTTTTGTTTCACTGTGTTTTGGGGCAGTGAAACCCATGTTTGTGAGCCTCATGGAGGAGAAGGGTGCACAGTTTTTTTTTGTGCTTCTCAGTATTGGCATGCTGAATTAAATCAGCATGGTGAGCACGTATTTCACACTTGCAAAACCTACAGAATGCCTTTGACACATCTCCCATCTGAGGTCGAATCCATTCTTTAAGTGTGCGCTCTTTCTCCCACTCCTTATTATATTTTTTTCCATATTTTCCCCACTTACTGGAGCTCATGGTCTCTTCACTTTGGGCTCTCTGGTGGCTGCGGGCGGCTACTGCACGGCTGCTTGCTGTGTTGTGAAAAGACGAGTGACGACACAAGTGTGCGCCTCCTCGCCACTTTGGGCGGGAGCGATAAACAGGAAACGAGGGCGAAGATGGGACAATCTACCTGCCACTCGTCTTTTGCTTTATTGTGCGGAGATGGGAGATAATCAACTAGTTTCACTCAGAAATAAAGTCAAGCCCAAATAAGCGGCTTCATGTACAAAAACAAGCCCAAAAAACCGCAAACTGCGACTCACAAGATTTGCAAGCGACTTTAGAAAAAAACAAGCCCAAAGTCGCTTATAATAAGCGGACTTTGCAACACTGATGCACATTAGGTGAAGGTACAAAATTCACAGCGCCATCTAATGACCTGGCATGGTAACTACAGCGGATTTGGGAGGGCGAGGGAGAATCCTTCGGATGCATGTAAACAAAAAACGTCCGTGGCAACGTGGATCTTTTCCTCTAACATATGAAAAAAAACCTACGTTTCCCCCCATCGTGTCCGTGTAAATAGAGCCTTAAAGGGGCCTTGGGACAAAGGATATTTCATTTAACTTCATTTTCTTGTTCAACTTTAAATCAGTCACTGCAGATGAATCAGTTTCTGTCAGATGTCTGCAACTGGAGCAGGTATTCTGTTTACTGGTTAACTTCCTCAGCTGTGTCACATTTTAAGGGTCAGTCCTTCTCCATGTTTCAGCTCCTTTCATAGATCAGATCTCACAGAAGAACTTCTAAAGAGAACAACAAAGTCCATGCTCAATAATCCAGGTATAAAATCCAACATTTTTCAGTCAGGTCATCTGGACAGTTTCTTTTTTTTGTACTGAAACGTTTCACCTTTGATCCAGAAGGCTTCATCAGTCAAGGAAACACAACAAAACTGATTCTTCCTCCAACAGCTTACTCCAAAGTGGAACAAACCAGTTATGTTGTTGCTAAGATGGTCTCTGTGGTACGCCCCTCCTCCATTGCCGGCCCTCTTCCTTGTTGACAGTCGTGTCAAACAAGTTGAAAGCAACAAAGTCCATGCTCAATAATCCAGGTATACAAGCCAACATTCTAAAGAGAACATTTTTTATTTTGGGCCATTATCTCGTCACAGGACAGTGTTTGTCCTCTACAAACACCTATTCTCCAGAAACGCCCACCTTTGGTCTGCAGAGAGAACCCCTTCTCACTAAGCCAAGTGACCGAGGAGGAACGTTGTTTCTTAAAGAGAAATGCCATCCACCTCGTCTCTGACACCCCTCCACCCAACCCCCCTGAAAACAAACTCTTTGGATCTACACTATTCACGTAAATTACATATTTTAGTTTGAAATTGGCGAATTTCTCCAGAAAGCAACTAATTAGCATGTCTGCAACAAAGTGAAGATGAACACATACTGTGTGGGTACATACATTTGGGTGGTCTCTTCAAGTTCACATGTTTGTGACACGTTCTTCTTAATTCCTCATCTTGTAGGAGATGAAACTAAACCTGTTTTCACAGGAACTCGTTTTGTTTTGGTCCGTGTTCAAACTGTTGTAGACACTAGATTTAGTTTGGTCTGGTTGTTCTGCAGCCCTGAACACAACAGGTACCTGAACGCAGCACGGCTACTTTAGTCAACTTTATGGTTGTTAAATAAATGTGAACAAAACATTGTTTCATCTGCTAAACTGAATGCAAATTACTTTCAAGTAAACCGCACTCCGCTACCATGGTTAACCACAGCTGACTGCTACTTCCTGTGTCTGACAGGAAGTTGTACCAGAATCATTTAAGACAGTAGAGCCCCCAGGAAGAAGGTGGATACCTTTAAACCACATGCAAGCCCATTAAATAGCTGAGCTATTTTTTTGTTTTGCCTTTTTTAAAATCTCCTCCTTCCAGTAGAAGTTGTATATGTGAGCAAAGTGCCTCGTTTGTAAAACACAGAATTTATTAAACCAAGTGGTTTGTGTTTACTTCCCTTTAGCCTCTGAAGAAGATGGTGGACAGAATCCGCAAATTCCAGATCCTCAACGACGAGATCTTTGCCATCTTGAACAAGTACCTGAAGTCTGGAGATGGGGAGAACCTGCCGGTGGAACACGTCCGATGCTTCCAGCCACCCATCCACCAGTCCCTCGCCAGCAGCTGAAGCTCCAGCCCGTGGACCAGTGCACAGCACTCTGAGCATTAGCAGCTAGGATTTGTTAGGTCATTGTAAACAAAGGACCGTTAAATGCAATAAGTTGGGCCACTTTTTTATTCACTTGTGCCTTATGAGAATAGATTATGGAAGAACTTTTATACGTGGAGAAGCCACTAGATGAGGGATAGAGATGAGCTTTTTATCAGATGACTAAAGGTTTGCAGTGGTGACGTATTCGGGTGGAAGTAATTTTTGTTCTGTTGCATACTGAAACGTTTTAAAGTAAACTGAAAAGAAAATCTCATACTCATGTTAAGCAATTATTCAGTGCCTTGTTTCATGTTTTAATCATTTTAATTCAATAAATGTTACAAATCTGTTGGTATGTCAAGTACTTGTGTAAAAACTCCTCACCCAGTGTATTTTTCTGAATTACAACCAACGTAAACTGTTCAAGTATCACAACAAGTCAAATCAGCAGGTCCTCACACAGAATATAGAATATCACCTCGAGGCTTGATTCATACAAAGTAGTTCGGTGCAAGAAAAAGCATCAAAACGTTTTAACCAAACTTCTTTAGAGCTACAAAGGAATGAGATGAAGTTGTGTAATATGACATATCGTGATAAGGCAAATTAAAGCAAAGACAGTGTCCACATCGCCCCCGCAGCTGATTGTCTCATTGTTTATAAACCATGTCAAAATCAAATTTATATTAAACATCTAAAGAGGAGGCCATCGCTCCATTCCTTCTAGAGACGCTATCAAAAAGCAGAGACCTGTCCCTGTCCTCCAAGTCCTCTGTGGACTCGTTTTGTAGCAGTTCATAGGTGGAGTGGGACGCCGTGCCATTGGACACAGGACAGGCCCGCTCCTCCCTCCTTATGGAAACAGCCAGGCTGGCCAAGCTAACGCTAACATCTTTGAAGGCGTGCAGCAGGAAGATGCCCACAATGATCGTGAGGAAGCCACTGAGCGTCCCGATGACGTCATCCGCGCCCATGTGCTCCCACTCTTTGAAGAGGATAGCGGAGCAGGTGAGCACTGACGTGGTGAAGAACACGTAGTAGATGGGCGTCACCAGAGAGGTGTTGAATATGTCCAGAGCCTTGTTTAGGTAGTTTATTTGTGTGCTCACGCAGCCCACCAGACCCAAGAGGAGGATCCAGGCCAGAGGGTTGTTGAGCACGTTCTTCCCTGCAATCGCTTCCTTGATGGCGATACCCAATCCTTTGACGCAGGACACCGACAGCGCCCCAATTACTGAGCAGATGGTGATGTAGACCAGGATGTTGGTCTGACCGTGGCGTGGACTGATGACAAATATGAAGATCAGAGCCACGATGACAACCAAAGTGGCAAAGACAAGAAATCCTAAGAAATGTAGAAACAAAGGTCAGGGACAAATAATGACTTGAGAAGAAGAGTGACAGGCGTCTTCTGTACCTGGGTCAACCAGTTTCTTGGCCATGTCTTTAAGGCTGCTGATCTCCTCCTCCTGCGGTGCATGAATCACCATGGTGGTGGAGCCAAGGATGCTGAGCAGGCAGCCGAGCTTCCCATGCAGGTTCAACCGTTCCGTCAGGAAGTACGACGACAGCACAGCGCTGCAACACAAGCGCCGCTCTGAGAACCTGGTGCAAACATCTCACGCAGCTCGCACACACTTGCAGTCAACTACCTTTGGAGAAGATGCTCTACCACAACAAACAGCTGCTGTTCAACATGTTTTGATGCTACTGGTGCTTGGTGTGCATTTAGTGGCTGTTTTTATTAGTTCAGATCTTTTTACTGTTGGATGTAAGTGGGACCCTGTGAACATGATGTTGTTCCACCACGTGCTGGAACGACAGGGAAGCTGACTGAACGTGTGTGTGTGTGTGTGTGTGTCAGACATATTGATGCACAGAACGCTTGATGTTCATGCTCTGACTTGTGGGTACCTGACGAGTACGCTGAGCGCTCCGAGAGGAGTCACTAACGTCGCAGGAGCAAACGCATACGCTGCGAAGTTGGCTGCTTCTCCTGCGCCCACTGGAAAACATGAGAACGCAGCTGGTAACCTTTTGGAAAACCAGATGTTGCAACAGAGCCGCACGAGGCCGGACACTAGAACAGCGCCTGTGATTTAAGGTGCTGCTGCACCAACACACACATTACAATACGACTGGAAATCAGTTCAGACGTTGATCATCCGTTTTACTCAACATGACAGTTCCTGAGAGGCAACAATCAGCATTTACCCTAAAATAAAAAGAATAGTCACAAATGATTTTATAATTGACCAGAATAATGTGGTAAGATGAGCTAAACTAAACCAGTGTCCAGCAATCATTACTTACTTGACAGTAAACCAGCCCACCACAGCCACTCTTTAAGATATGCATGACCACCCTGGCCTGAAAAACAAACGTACCCGTACATGTTAAAGGAACATTTCACTTATTTTAAAGTGGTGGTCTGTACAAAAGTTGTGAACTCTTTCAAAGTTGATTTTGTTAGAAACCAGTGCAATCTTCAAAAATTCACATTTTATGCAAATCTTATTTGTAAACTGTCAATTTGACTTTACACTGTTATTCCTGCAGAAATATTTAGAATCGACCAACGCTGCGCTGCTAATGCTATCTGGGCAGAGGAATGGGAACAAGATTTAAAAATATTTGTGTAGTTCAAAACTGACAGTGATGAAAATATGTACACAAATAGTGTTTACATGAAAGTCCCAATCTGGGAGACCGGAGCAGCTTGAAGACAGAAGCAGTGCACTCCGTTTGGTCGAACAAACCGTTTCCCCAAACTGAGCTCTTTCAAAGAACTATCTACAACAGGTAAGATACTATTTGTTCATAACGTTTTTCCAAAGTGCCACTTCAAAATGTCGACAGTATTCCTGACACGAGAAGCATGGCACTACCAGCTGTTCACGTGTTTACAGCCAGTGTGAGGGAGATGCTCCACATGAAGACGTGTCTGGTTAATAATTGCTCGGGTTTAAAGAGAGCTGGTGACACAAACACACCCTGCACAGAAATGCACGCAGCTGTAATGTCGAGCAGGTCTGTCCAACTGGTTTGACTCGTGGTTCACCAGTCGGTGAAGCTCATGAAGAGCAGGGAGCGTCAGCACATACCAACACTTCCCAGTGTCTCTGGGCTCGGCTCTGATTTGACCTGCGTGTAATGTATGTGAAAGTGCAGTACCTGCCCGCATCGATCCCTTCTTAGCCAGCCTCAGAAGTCCTTTCTTCTTCAGGATGAAGCTGCCCCCAATGAAGATGCTAGAGCTGATGGCCAAAGCCAGGCCGATGTAGAAGTCGTACCTGCCCCGGTCCTGACCCATAGTGAGGCTGGAGGCGTTGCTGCGCTCACTCACATTTACCAGCAGGCAGGGGAGATGCTGATCCAAGGAGCAGCTGCGCTCAGCCCACACACCTGAAAGCAGAGCAGAACACTAACAGCTCTGCTGGAACAACACGTCCGTCACTACACGACACCTACCGCTTCTGCACGACACACTACACACTGGAGAGACATCATTTGACGAGCTGGAAAAATCCATTTAGGAACATCTGCTTCTGTGTCCAGAACAAACGCAGCAGAGTGACTGACACATACTGCTGCTCTGAACGTTGTTCACACAACCGGTTATCAGAGAGCAACGAGAGAGCTGCAGAGCTCTCTCTGACAAGGAAACTACCTCACCAGTTTGGAATTCAGGAAGTGACCGGTTATAGAGCGGACCTGAAGGTGCTGCTGGTCCTACTGGATCTGCTGGTTAGTAATTAGTTACTGCTCAACTTTCCTGCCACAGCAGCACTCACTCAGTACTGAATATACACATATATAAAGTGTCTCAGAGGTCGTCTTGTCTCCTCTTTACTGAATATACAC